GAAACCATAGGTAGTAAAGCGGTTAATTTGACTCTCAGGGGCCCGGTGCGCAAACTGTTGGTAGGGCCGCGTGGCAGTGGATTAGAATTAGGACTAAACCATAGCGTTTTCTCCTGCAATCCTGGCCAAAAGGTTTTGGGGCCCCCCCCCTTTTTTAAGTGTTTTTTTATGGAATTTACAGCTAACGGCCGTAGCAAGAACCCCCCCCCCCCCGCCCCCTAAGCAAATTTGAGGTTCTTGAAGTAGCTTAAAGTGTACAAGATATGTAAATGTGGGGGTCCAACTTGAATTACATTTTCCTCACCTGAAACACAAAGTGTCCCAAACGTTTTGACCAGGATTTATCCTGGTGGATAGCGTTACCCACCTTTTGAACAACTCGGGCCACAAAAAGAGAAATTTGGTCCACAATAGGGGTTCTCAGAAAGTCCCGTTCTTATGTTATTTTTAACGCCAAATCATCGACCGATTTGTGAGCCCAGGGATGCGTTTCTGGCAATTGAAAGTTCCGAAAACTCTTTGGACTCAAAAGGTCCGCCGAAAAGGGTCTAGAAAATGCTCAGTTCAGTCCGGAAAATTTACGGGGTCTTTCGAGAAACGAACACCAGCGTGGATACTGGACTACCTTAAAAGGCTGGAAATCGAGCTTACCTTTTAAATATGTTTCCCAAATTTTCTACTCTTTTTATAACGGTAGTTAAAAATCTCCCCTCACTTAGAGATTTTTAATTTAGAAAATAGTCGGCTCAAAAGACCAGTTCCCACGTACATTTCACAGGTGTAATGGAACCTGGTCCGCAGAGCACAGGATAATTTTTAGTGACGGTGCCTGCCCATACAATAGTGTTTATGGTATCTTATACGCGGAAAGGTAGATTTAACAAGTCGGTTTTAATGTATCGGAAAACGAATCTAATTGTCTAATTCTAAAAACATATAAAACAAGGTATAGTTAGATATCCCTTCTTCACTGACTCATGCAGAGGTCAGTCTTTGCGCGAAAAGAAAAAAAATAACCGGACAAACAAACAGACTATAAGAAAACAAAACCTTTGTGTTGCGTTGTGGCAAAGACTTTCGAAAAAGTACTATTCAGCAATTTAAACAAAACAAAACCTTTGTGTTGAGAGGCGTCCTAGTCACTAAAACCATGAAATATTTGTAACAAATTTAACACTAGATGCATGTGCTTAGCGGCGGCGTTTTCAAGTATGTTTTGATTCACTCATACCACGCATAAACATCAGCACATTTATTATCACTCCTAATTCTTTGCATCATGCTGAGTTCAACGTTCGCTCAAAAAGAAAAAAAGACAAACAACTAAACAAAACCACAAAAGAACAAGACAAAGCCTTTGTGTTGAAAGGCATAAAAGTCTCTAAAATCATGAAATATTTGAATTGTGGCCGAAGTCAATAGTATTTGCATGCGGTTTGTTTTGCGTCAGGTACTGTTTTCATTCACACGTAGAACGCATAAACATCAGCACATGTCTGACCGCTGTTATCGGATTCGTAACAGTCCTTTAAGTCTTCCCCATACCAAAGCTGAAACTCTTGACCAACGGACGCGGATATTGGAGAGGGAAGGATGTTAAACCGAAGTTCGGGCTCGTTAACACCTATACCTTCTATCTTGTACGAATAATATCTACAGCGATCGCCCTGGGTTTTTTTGTAATTTGCGAGCAAAAGAGCAGACTTGTTCTGAAACGTTATGACAGTAAGTAATTTCTCTTCCTTAAAAGTCGGATGGTCACATCCCCAGTAGGAAAAAGGGTGTTTGGGGGTGCAGCTAACTGAGCCGCTTAGATGAACCAATTTAAACGTATATACCCTTCAATTTGTTTTCTTTTGGTAGATTTCCATATCTTTCAAGAACTCATTTGCGAAAAAAAATTCCAGAAATATTGAATCCTTCTTTTTTACGAGCGCTAAAAGTGAACGCAGTCTTGTCGATATTTTTACCTTTCGTTCGCATTAGTCCCCCACTCGGCCAAATGTGTCCAAATATGGAGCGTGACGTAAGAAAAGCAAACATATGCGGAGATTCGCGGCAATGCTTTATTGTTAAACAGAGAAAATGGTTGAAAAATATGTGGTTTTTGGAGGAAAAGGACATATTTTCATACCAATTGTAAGCTTAACAAATAATCTTCGATCGCATTATACTTTCAATGCTTCGTGCTTTGGAATGGTGTCCTTTTCTTACGTCACAGCTACAAAAAGTGCCAAATATTGGACGCTTCTCATTGGCTTGTTTCTAATGAGCCCACGAGACAAGAATTTGTCCAGCAGGGCTTATAGCGCGCAAAAATTTAAAAATTTCAGTAACTTTTAGCGCTCGTAAAAAAAGGATTCAATATTTCTGAAATATCTTTTCGAAAATAAGTTCTTGAAAGATGTGGAAATCTACCAAAACGAAACAAATTAAAGGGTTAGGTGCACTTTAAGTATTCTATGCAGTATCTAGATATTAAGACAAAGTATCGTTCTGGAGAGACTGTTGTTGTTGATCTTCTGAATTAGTGCATTTAATTTATTTCCTGTTTTCTTGCTTTTACGCTAAATTGCCGGTTTTCAGTGTCACGCCATTAAAAATAGATCAAAATAAAAATTAAAACCGTCCAATAGATAAAGTCCAGTATCTGGAAAATGAAAGAGGTTAAAATATACAAATACTCTCGCCAAGATTCAGATCTGAGGAATATTTCGTATTCGAGATATCCGAAGAAATTTTTTGTCCAAATTTATAAAGATTTGTATGGAGATGCCATGCTGGTGCCCATCCGGATGGGCACCAAAATGGCGGACGGAAACAAACATCTGTTACCGAGTTTTGCTACAAAGCGCGAATTTATTCGTCCAGGAACTCATGAACATTAAAGTAATACTTCTTCTAATTCTTGAACTGTTTAGATAGGAAAATTCCTTGAAATAAGTCACTTTCTTACCTACAGGACAGCTCTCTCGGCAGTCATGTAAATGCTGCGTCACATAAAAGCTTAGAAATTCAAGCGTACTCTATCACAAAACCAAGAACCCTTCCGAAGCGAAAATTTGTATGAAAATTAGTTTCCGGCTGCTCTAATACGTGACAAAAGTAAAATCTCAGCAGGATCTGTAGTTAGAATTTTAGTGACATCATGTGAAAACCAAATAACTTTTCAGTTGTTTGCTAAGACGTCCCTTTCAAGAACAGGATGGAATGTAGTTAAATTGTCCCCATCTCTGGAGCCACAATCATGTGGAATTCCTAGCAAGCAGTGATTTAACTACAGTAGTGCAAAATATAGGTAATAGGTATGTGACATTTTGTAAGACAAAGCTAAGTTGAATATGCCCATCCCATTTAAAAGTACATGTATATGCACCGTGAAACCTAACTAATAAAACTGTTAATTTTATATCTCAGGTCCCCGTTGTCCAAACGTTGGATAGCGCCACTGTTCAGTGGATTAGAATTAGGACTAACCAATAGCGTTATCTACTGCAATCCTGGCCAAAAGGTTTTGGGGCCCCCCCCCTTTTTCAAGTGTTTTTGTATGGAATTTACCGCTAACGGCCTTAGCAAGATCCCCCCCCCCCCCCGCCCCTTAAACAAAGTTGAGATTCTTAAAGTAGCTTAAAGTGTACAAGATATGTAAAAGTGGGGGTTCAACTTGAATTACATTTTCCTCGCCTGAAACACAAAGTGTCCCAAACATTTTGACCAGGATTTATCCTGGTGGATAGCGTTCCCCACCTTTTGAACAACTCGGGCCACAAAAAGAGAAATTTGGTCCACAATAGGGGTTCTCAGAAAGTCCCGTTCTTATGTTATTTTTAACGCCAAATTATCAACCGATTTGTGAGCCCAGGGGTGCGTTTCCGGCAATTGAAAGTTCCGAAAACTCTTTGGACTCGAAAAGTCCGTCGAAAAGGGTCTAGAAAATGCTCAGTTCAGTCCGGAAAATTTACGGGGTCTTTCGAGAAACGAACACCAGCGTGAATACTGGACTACCTTAAAAGGCTGGAAATCGAGCTTACCTTCTAAATATGTTTCCCAAATTTTCTACTCTTTCTATAACGGTAGTTAAAAATCTCCCCTCACTTAGAGATTTTTAATTTAGAAAATAGTCGGCTCAAAAGACCAGTTCCCACGTACACTTCACAGGTGTAATGAAACCTGGTCTGCAGAGCACAGGATAATTTTAGTGACGGTGCCTGCCCATACAATAGTGTTTATGGTATCTTATACGCGGAAAGGTAGATTTAACAAGTCGGTGTTAATGTATCAGAAAACGAATCTAATTGTCTAATTCTAATAACATATAAAACAAGGTATAATTAGAAACCCCTTCTTCACTGACTCATGCAGAGGTCAATCTTTGCGCGAAAAGAAAAAAAATAACCGAACAAACAAACAAACTATAAGAAAACAAAACCTTTGTGTTGCGTTGTGGCAAAGACTTTCGAAAAAGTGCTATTCAGCAATTTAAACAAAACATAACCTTTGTGTTGAAAGGCATCCTAGTCACTAAAACCATGAAATATTTGTAACAAATTTAACACTAGATGCATGTTGCTTCGCGGCGTCGTTTTCAAGTATGTTTTGATTCACTCATACCACGCATAAACATCAGCACATTTATTATCCCCCCTAATTCTTTGCATCATGCTGAGTTCAACGTTCGCTCAAAAAGAAAAAAAGACAAACAACTAAAAAAAACACAAAAGAACAAAACAAAGCCTTTGCGTTGAAAGGCATAAAAGTCTCTAAAATCATGAAATATTTGAATTGTGGCTTAAAAGTTACTTAAAGGAAAGACAGCAATGCACAGCTGTTAATGGATCAACTTTAGAGATGACACCGGTCTCTTTTGGAATTCCTCAAGGGTCTGTCTTGAGGCCGACACTTTTCACTCTTTTCACGAACGATCTTCCGTCCTCAGTATCTTCCGGATCCGTCTATATGTTTGCCGACGACACAACGGTTTACTGCATAAGTGACACGGCAGAAAAAAGTATTGCCAAGTTAAATTCTGCACTTCGTGAATTAAACGAGTGGTGCCTCATTAACAGATTAACACCCCACCCAAGTAAAAGTGAGGCCATGCTAATCTCTAGAAGAAATCCCCCGGTTAACATTCCCCCGATCTTTATCGGAAACTCTACGATTGAATGGGTATCGAAATCACGATTACTGGGAATGACCGTCGATGAGTAACTGACCTGGACTCAGCATATGCTGGAACTCAAAAAATCATTTGCTAAAAAACTAGGATTACTTAAGAAGTCGAGATTTCTCCCTAGAAACGTTCGTCAGGATCTCCATTTTAAGGTCATCTTGCCTTCAGTGACCTATGGTCTTAGACTATGGGGATCTTGCTGCAATTCCGACTTATTTCAGTCCCTGGAAAGACTTCACTGCATGGCTGCGAGACTTATCTTTCATTTGCCGAAAGACATGGCATCTGCTGATGTCCTACAACGGGCCCAATGGCCGACTCTGTCTATTTATTATAAATTAGCCATTTTTATCTGTCTTCATAAAGCTNCCCATACCAAAGCTGAAACTCTTGACCAACGGACGCGGATATTGGAGAGGGAAGGATGTTAAACCGAAGTTCGGGCTCGTTAACACCTATACCTTCTATCTTGTACGAATAATATCTACAGCGATCGCCCTGGGTTTTTTTGTAATTTGCGAGCAAAAGAGCAGACTTGTTCTGAAACGTTATGACAGTAAGTAATTTCTCTTCCTTAAAAGTCGGATGGTCACATCCCCAGTAGGAAAAAGGGTGTTTGGGGGTGCAGCTAACTGAGCCGCTTAGATGAACCAATTTAAACGTATAGATGACCCCACTCTCTGTGATGTTAAATGTCCCGTATGAGTCATCCTTTGCTCCAAAGCAGACTGGCTCAATATTTATCTTCTTCCAGTTCTCTGAAATCAATTTCCACGTAATTTGAATTCAATAAGTTAAATCTATTACGTTTTATTCTGCTCTTGGTGAAAATACGTTGGTGCAGTGTAGGGGACTGAAGAAGTGACGAAAGGGAAAGATATAGGGAAGGAGGACGACGAGAATCTGTGACATGGGTTGATCACGTATTGAACTTTTCCCTACTTTTATAACGTTATGATATTTTCTCAATAAAGTGCTCTCCCGTGTTAAACAAAAGGTTATATTCAGTGTTCATGGCAGTTTTTTATCTTGCTACCATGCACGCCTAAAACATTGCGACTGGGGGTGATTAGCGCAAACACAGTATAAAGAAAGAATACATTACCAGCATGACAGCCATAGAGCTCAACTCTCATTGATATGTATCCCTGCCATTCCGTCGGTTGAAAGCGAATATAACGGGCCATAATAACTTCTGTCAGGTTATGACGAACAACGGTGTTATTGTCACTGTTTCCATTAAAAATCTATATACAATTGTAGTAGAAACATCATTGCTACTTAGTATCAACCAAGCATGAATAATTTTCAAACAAACTGTCCCCCAAAACCGATCACCTACACACTCACACTATAGGGGTCATAAAATATTAATTTGAAGGGTTTTTTTTTTTTTTTTTTTTCAAGTTCTTTTGATATATTTACTGAAGCAACTGCATTGGTTGTCTCTAAACTGGTAACCCTAAAATGGAGTTTCATCGCTATCGAAGTTTCATAGCAACAGGGTGACGCCATTGTCATTTTACATTTCCGCGTATTTGGGAAACAGTTAGTTTACTTATTAGTATAAATTACACAACTAACACCTAGGCCCCGTCCACCTGAGTTCGGGCATTTTTTGGACCGCTGTTTCGGCTCACAACATGGGCAGTACATGGAAGGAAATTACAAATTCATGGAAGAATTGTTAACCGGCGCAATATCGGAGCGCTTAAGCGTGTGAGGCAATTCGTTCCTCCGTCGAACCTCCAAACAATGTACAAGTCTCTTATCCAATTGTACTTTGACTATTGCAGCATTGTTTGGGAGGGCTTGGGTTCTGAACTAGCTCTGACGCTTCAAAACCTACAAAACCGCGCAGCTCGGATGATCAGTTATGATTCTAGCTCCGGCCCCCTGCTGCAAGGGCTAAGATGGGACAACCTTTCTGTGCGCAGAATAAAGCTCCTCGCTATTAAAATGAAGGTGTTCAACAATATGGCACCTAGCATAAATATCTACGCACAAAAGTTTTNTTTTTTTTTTTTTTTTTTTCAAGTTCTTTTGATATATTTACTGAAGCAACTGCATTGGTTGTCTCTAAACTGGTAACCCTAAAATGGAGTTTCATCGCTATCGAAGTTTCATAGCAACAGGGTGACGCCATTGTCATTTTACATTTCCGCGTATTTGGGAAACAGTTAGTTTACTTATTAGTATAAATTACACAACTAACACCTAGGCCCCGTCCACCTGAGTTCGGGCATTTTTTGGACCGCTGTTTCGGCTCACAACATGGGCAGTACATGGAAGGAAATTACAAATTCATGGAAGAATTGTTAACCGGCGCAATATCGGAGCGCTTAAGCGTGTGAGGCAATTCGTTCCTCCGTCGAACCTCCAAACAATGTACAAGTCTCTTATCCAATTGTACTTTGACTATTGCAGCATTGTTTGGGAGGGCTTGGGTTCTGAACTAGCTCTGACGCTTCAAAACCTACAAAACCGCGCAGCTCGGATGATCAGTTATGATTCTAGCTCCGGCCCCCTGCTGCAAGGGCTAAGATGGGACAACCTTTCTGTGCGCAGAATAAAGCTCCTCGCTATTAAAATGAAGGTGTTCAACAATATGGCACCTAGCATAAATATCTACGCACAAAAGTTTTGAAAATGAGGTCCAATTATGATACTAGGGGCTCCTTTTCTTGATTTCAATACCTCTTCCCTAAACCAATTATGGCAAAAAACGTTCTGGCTATATGGGAGCATATATTTGAAATAAATTACCAGAGGATTTGCGTGGATGCAAAGCAATAAACTTTTTTCAATCTAAATTGGACCGATTGCTCCCCAGCCTCTTTGATTCCTTACTATAATCCTAGCTTAGAATTAATTTATCAAAGGTTAATTTCTAGTTTTACGAATATATATTTTTCTCAAAACTAATTAATATTAACTCGAAACCGCAGATAGATATATATATTTTTTAACACCGCTTTTATGTAATCCAGCTTTAGCTGATAATACTACATTGTCCTCTCTCTTTCACCCCCTTCCCCTTCTCTCCCTCTCTAAGACTTTCAAACCTACTTAAAGACTTTCATGGTAGGAAAAGAGGTATGGAAAAAACTGCGTAACTTGCCTTTTCTTTATTTTGGCCTTTTTCCTTGTAGGTTTGGAAGCTGGCTGTTTCGTTGACAAAACTGAACTGCAGCTTGTACTTTGTAACCCACTGGTTCCCGTCCTGTCTTCCTTGTGTTGCTACACCGGTAACTCTTGCGTTATAACTGCGCAAGTCAACCTGGAGCCACTGATTCACATCTAATCGGCCTGCTGCCCAAGCACCTTTCATGACTCCCGCTGTTTTTAAGTGTAGTCTGCCCTGGTAGGCATGTAGGTAGTCACCAGTTATCCGCCATTCAGAAGAGGCAGTGATCTGTGTATCAGTGATGTTTCCATTTTCCATACCCAGAGAACTTCGGCATTCTAGATGTTCCGAAAAAGAATTGCACCATTCATGAATAACCCACACTTTTTATACGTTGTTAGATTAACTTTTTCATAAAAAATATCGACTTAAATTATGACATAAAATTACTTGTATTCAATCTTCTTAACTGCATTAAAGGCATATTATTAGGAGATTATTACCCCTCCCCCCCTTCCAACCTTTTTCTCTTCTCACTAAAAAGCTGAAGAATAACTTCAACCGTTCAAGCAAGCTTAATGGCCACCGCCAAACTAAGCAACTTTTCTAAAATATGGCTGGGAACATTTTTATAAAGTCGTTGTGATGTATAAGTCAACATTGACGTTACTGCGACAATCAAGTTTTAACAGTCATGTTTTTTTTTAATTATTGAGAATTATTATAAATCATTATGTCTGTTTTTTAATACTAACTCCTCTCGAAGCGACGGCCGGTCGAGCGAAATGAGGTTTAAAACATTGTCGAAATTTACATCGCACTTGACTCTCTTTAGGCCGGCCAAGCGAAGTGTAATCTTGCTGTTTCTTTCTATCAGATCTGTCCAATTGACCTTTCTAAACTGACCTGGATCAGGCCTTTTGGCGGCCGTTTTTATGGAAAGGATTTGGACCATTATATTAGCTTCAAAATAAAACCAAAAATGGAAGAAAGAAAGTGACTTAAGCCTGAAATATAACAACTCAACTAGAAATACGTGAATCGCAGAACAGTTCGAAAAGCAGAGGCTTTAAATGGTTAGAAATATATATATGAAAAAACAAACAAGCAAATAAACATACAAACAAACTGAAACAAGTAAAGAAACAAGTCAAAAAACAAAAATAGGATAGAGCTTTCCGAAGAATCTATCCCAGCACATTCTGTTGGGTGAGAATAACCTTTGCCACTAAACTAAACTACGCGAGGTTACAAATATAGTTTTGACTGAAAATAATTGGTTTAAAGGAGCACCAAACGAATTTGTGAAATATCTGTTCAGAGAAGCAAATATAGCGTAGAATTTTAAAGTACTCGAGGACGGATGAGAATTTCGAGATGACCGTTCCATTCATGTACAATTTTCGAAGCTTATCTAATAAATTCTCTACGTAATTTTTCTGCAATCTAATTTTTCACATTTCACTACCCAAGTGACGTTATTTTTCGTACGAGAAGGGAAGCCTAAATTCGCATTCAAAAATGTGATGGAGAGAGGAATCGACATCGGAAAAATTTAATTCCACTTTCGTAATACGTCTAATTGCATATAAAATTTTGGGGAAAATAGGTTTCGAAAAGACTCAGGAACCCTCAGGATGACCGAACAGGTACAACTTTTAGAGCGACGCTACATTACATTTCTAGAGATTTAAAAGTATACTCTGGATGGCCTAGAAAGTTTTTTCAAGTATTCAGGAGCAATCATTAGCTAGGTGCCCGTTTCTCATGGAAACCCCGTTTAAAGCTGATCCAGCCGTCGGTAGAAAACCGAACTTAATTATCAAGGTGGCTCGCTAGAGTATTTACTAACGACTCTAGCTATCTAGCATACGTTACAGAAGGAAATGCAGTTACTTTATCTTTGCGATTTTCTTCAGATTCACCACTAAGGTTACCCATATAAGAAGGCTCCTCTATCAAGTTTCATTTTCTGGTTTAAAGCCGTTGCCATGGCAACATCGCATCCTTAGCAGGCAGTAAATTTGTCATTTTTTCTTAATATTTCTTATTTCCCTCGGTGAAATGTCTTTAAACTTTGCCACTCTGCATTAACGATATTGCTTAACATTTTAAAGTGAAAAAAAACATGGGGTCGTTAAGACGTTATGCCAATATTTTGAAATTTGTAATTTTTCTTAATAGCAGAATTTAGCTCTTACAAATTTTAACAAGAAAAAGACGATATAAAGGTACTGCAACTGCTAAGAAATGAGGCGATTTTTAAAAAAAATTATCGACGGAAACGCGAGAAATTTACAGTTAATTAACTGCGCTGACGTCACAAAAATGGGAAAAACACGCGTGGTTCAGGGTCGTATGAGCAAAATACGCGCGCGAGCCATCACGCCCGCATGCACGTAATGCACATAGCTACTGGTTTCTTAGAAAAGTACGAAAGCCATTCTTAAAGCTGTTTATTAGTATTATTACGGTGATATCTCGCCAGTCTTTCAACCTTGTTCTACTTTAGGGATAATTTTGACGGCGAGGTTCTTCTTTAAAAGTCTGCTGTAAAAGATGACGCCGATCTAAAAACGTACATCACGTCGTCAGCTGCACGTACAAGACCGTAGTTCTCTACGGACAACTATTACCTTCGTCAAGGGTCCATCTGTGACTCAAAAACTATTTTTGTTTTGCAAAAACATTTTCTAGTGCATCTTGTGCGTTGAAGGACTTTTAAAACAAGAAAATGCACAAGGATGTTGGTTCGTTGATGGAAAGGTTCCTTCGATCAGGATGCAGGTTAAGTAGGAAACCCTTTTTGTGATACCGGTAAGTTTTTTAAACAATGTGATAGAGTCGGCAAAACCAAACAAATTTACACTGTCTGTTATCTTGCCTTAAGGCCTTTTCTTGGATTTTTTTTAGATCAAATCAAATGTAAGAGAAATAAAGTGACTTAGGAGCTCAGCTCCGCCGTTGAAGACATTCTTCAGTGTTTGTTCGGGACTTGGCTCATCTTTCAGATCTTTCCACTGACCATAAACCAAAGGCTAGAAACAGCAGCATTGTTTCCTTCAGGATTGGTGAGCTTTCTTTGTAAAGTTTTCATTGACCATTTACTTCGAGTATTTTACGTTTGTCTACTTTTGAAGCGAAAGAATTGATGTCTTTGGAAAATTTCTGCTTCGTTTATACATCATGATACATACAATTTACTCTTATGGAGATCGATAGTGACTTGTAACCGGTGTAACATTGTCTCCTCTCTTAAATGTTTGACCTAAACTAACCAAACTTTTTGAAGAATGAGCTTCAATAGAAAGCTAATAAATTTTTTGGGGGGAATATTTCGAAACTGAGAGGCCATGTTTGTTTAATTTTTGCGCGGACGTCACGCGGATTTTAAAGCTCGCGCCATACTAGTGCCCAGGCTGCGCACGGCCAATTTACTCTAGGGAGCCACGTTAAACGCATTTAAGCATTTTTTTTAAAGAAAAAAAGCCGTTACAACTCGTCTGCGTAAAATGACCACACACCCGAATGGCAAATGCTCAAACTGCTGGGTTCAATTTTCTGTAGTGTTCACTCCCCTAATAATTTAAGTTGCAGTTTCCTTTCGGGTTCCTTAATTTATTCGCAGATCAAATTTTCTTTCACGACTACCTCGATTTATACTGGGTTTTAGGTAGAATGAGAAGCATCTAATTAAACTAAAATGAAGGATACAAGACCGCTACGGGTTCCGTATAATTTTTTTAATGATAAATAACGTCATCACGACATCACTGATATTGTTCAAGATTCTTAGTTTGTTGTCCAACTTCTTTTAAAATTTTAGTAAACACCTTACTATTGGAGTATTTTTCGCTTTGTAGCTACTTTAAGAGGGATTTAGATTCTGCCAATAAATTCAACAAAATGACGTCACGATGACGGCAGATTACGTCATTATAGCAAGGAAGCTATGCCAAAATGTTGTAAATGATGAGTAAATCATTCTGTGTAATTTTGGTCGCCTTGTTTATGCACGGTTTTGTAGTTACACAGAGGGAGGGGTGCGGGTTCCGTGGCCCCACACCCGGTCACGGGAAGCAAGAGACGGGTAGGAGAGGACCCTGGGAACGAGGTTGGGATGTAAACATGGATGTGTTAGGCAAGAAAGGAAGGTGGAATGTATGACCTTGTCTAGAAGGTCCTCTATTCTAGATTTTCTGATTTTTTGGGCTAGCTTGTTTCCTATTTGACCATTTCTGTAACTAAAAGCATAAGATATATGCGCAGTTTATTGAAATGAAATGAAACATTCATTTGGCCATTTACTAACCTTGGCAGCCATGTAAAATATGTGGAGTAAACCCAGGAATGCAGTCACAACGGAATGAACCCGGCTCATTCACACAGTTTGAATGTGGCGGACACTTGTGTGAGTTGGAGAGTACACATTCATTGATATCTGTTAGAAAATAGAGAAACAATCTTATTAAGCTATTTTGAAAATCAGTATTGCACCAGAAAACAGTAATCTGATAGGGTATGTATCAATCAGTAAATATCTACAGTCTGTTAATTTTGTTAGACTGTAGGAGTTCTGTTGCGTCAGGAGTCCTGGTTGTGTTCATTTTTTTACACTATGGATATTCTGTTAAAGCGAGTGTCGGCGAGAGGGTGCGAAACCTCATCTTCACGGCATGAAGTCTAATTCAACAACAGGAGGCGATCGATCAAACAATTACATGTACCCTCAAGGGCGTCGCTCATTCTGTTATAATTGTATGATCGTATGTTAGAAATACGTGTCTAGCAAAGTTAAAGCTCGCAAAACTCGATGTGAATGGCTATTGTCAAGTTAAGCTCTGACGGGCGGGGTTAGGAATCAGATGGGTAGACAGCTGCGATTATACTTCGGTGAAGACTGCTCTTCTCGTTTTTTTCCTCTGTTTGCCTTTTCTTTCATCGTCACATTTTTTTCTTTATTGTGTTTCGCCAAAGCGTCACCTTAAAATATACCACTCTTTCATATTGACTTTTCCCGGATCATTCCCACAAAATGCCTGGGCCTTTACCAGTTTCGCATAAATTTCTGATAACTCTCAGCAAATTCCACCACAGCAACACCTTCCATCTCCATACACTTTCAGGTACACTTCCAGGTATACTTTTAAATCCACGAATATGGCCCGATATATGCGAAATTCGATAAAGTATCCGGGCAGGCCTCCTCAGGTTAGTGAGTCGTTTAACAATTTTTCAGATCAGCAACTGATTTTAGTACCCCAGGATGACTTTTGCATCGTTTCTGTTTAAAGGAACAGTATCCCGTTAATGCGCAT